CTGTCATCNGTTCTATCCAAAGCCATAGAATAGATCGTAGCGGATTTCTTGATGGAACACTTAGATAAATACGACGTTCTTTCTCCAGCTCAGTATGGATTCCGTCAAAAAGATCATGTACTACCAATCTGCTCCTGGCCCGCGATGAATGGACAAAGGTGTTCGGTCGGGTGAACCACGAAATACTGTTCCGTAAACTGAACAATTTTGGAATTAGCAACCTCGCGCTTGATTGGATTTCTGCGTTTCTCCAACAACGGACCATGTCTCTTCGAGTCTCTAATTCACTGTCCGCCCCTATCGCCGTTTCCCGCGGAGTCACCCAGGGTTTTTTGCTTGGTCCTCGACGTTTTCTCTTGTTAATAACCGATTTACCGAATGTTCTAAGAACGCAAACATTATTGTTTGCAGACGACGTCAAAATCCGGAAAACAGTGACAGAAAGTGAGGAACACCAAGAAACACTGAATGCAGTTTACAAATGCTCTACTGGGAACAACATCAAGTTTAACCTCTCCAAATGCAAGGTGATTTTGCTACACCACCATGGTCGGTTTCCTTATTTCCTCTGAAACGAACTACTGCCGCATGCATCAACAGAGGACTTGGGTGTTATAGTCCACGAAGACCTGAGATGTTCTATTAACTATGCCAGGGCGTCAACCACCGTTCAAACATGTCGGTCTACTTAAACGTGTTTTTGGTCGTTTTGAACAATCTTCATTCCCACTTCTGCTGTCGGCATACATCTGGCGGCATATTGAGTATGCCATCCAAACCTGGAATCCATGGGTAAAATGTGATCATAATATTTTGGAGCGTCCACGAAAGCTCGCCACGAAGATGTTCACCGGACTATTATGATTCTTACATGGGAAGACTGCGGTCATTGGGTCTATACTCTACTCAATATCGTCGGATTCGAGGAGATTTGATTTTAGTGTGCCAATTATTACACAACCCAAAATACTTTTGTCGCCCACTATTGACTATCGTCAAACGTTCATCTACGGGGACATCCATTCAAGTTACTACACCAAAAATCTCGACTGGACTGCAGACGTCATTCCTTGGCCATCAGAGTTTACTCTGTCTGGAATTCCTTACCATCTCATGTCGTTTGTGCCACGGCGATGGATTCTTTCAAGGTAAAAGTTGACGACAACATCCATGAACACACATAACACAACCGAATACAGCATATGGAATTTTATTCATCATTGTTACAGTTCAATTCTTGTGAATACCTTATTGGATAAGAAAAGCATCTGCTTGTAAGTAATGCCCATAATAAAATTTTGACTTTGACTTTGATCTCCTAAAGCTGAGTACGAGTGAGATCAACAAGAACTATGTATTGTCTACAGGCAACCAAACGAACAGTGCTGCCGGACAGATCTCTTAATCCACTCTTGCCGTCGAATCTTAAGGCATCCTGCTAAACTGCCGTCAACAGTTCCAGGCAGATAAAATATGTCAAACTGATCTGCGGGCAGGTAAACTAACCCAGCTGAACAACCATTCATATACGCTCGATGACCGAAACAATCGGTCGTATGCTTTCATCCTTCACTTGCTTGTTATTATATTAGCAATTTTACAACTTTTAGAGTAAATTTTTTAAACGATCAGGTACACGTACAATTTGTATTGTAGATCTACACACAACGCATAATTCATTGAAAGCAAAAGTGGTTCGGCAACTCAGAAATACCAAATAATAAAAATGACAAAAATAAACAAATCACGAGGGTAGCATCGAGCTAAAATTTCACGACCGTGATGGATCATGTACAGATGAATATGTATAAGTGTGCGAATGTTTGTATCATGCAGGGACCTGGATGCGTGTATCCCAGGTTCCGTATCACCTAGATGCGATCGTGCATCGTGATTACTGAGCGTCACATACCAGTTGCGACATTTTCAATTCTAAGTGACCTAACATACATACATAGATCAGTCTCATCAGTCTGTTGACTCTATTTGCAAACTACGCTCTCAAAGACATCCCGTCTGTTTGATAAAAACGTCAAAGTGGCACGCTTTCCGTCAGCCGGATATCAGATGAATCCAGTATGTCATGTGGAAGGGGAAAAAATCAAAAACGAGACTGGGACGGATTTCACTTTATATCGATTTTACATTGGTTTATATCACTTCCATCAACTCTAAACTGCATGCCGAGGTATCTTTCAAACTTGGTTTTAAACAGTGTGATGACGTATGAATCATGGAAACCTTCAGAATTCCGTTTTTACAAGCCTAATTCATGTAAGTTTGGGATGCTTATGAATAAGCCACCACTCCGAACTGGGAACTATCTCACCAATGAAACTGTATATGGTCATTCTTGAATCGGTTTAACTGGAATATCATTTAGTGTTAGCAACTGCAATCGATGGTTATTTGGGACCAGTTACATGAATTTATCATTGAATAAGACCGCTCGATCATGTGATTAATAAATAAACCCCGAAATGGTGATATTCATGCCACATCAACGGCATTAAAGACTCCGATGTCCGTGGATTCTCAGCTGGAATCAATTCGGATAAAGCACTTAGCATATGACAACTCCAAATCAAAATTCAGTGAAGCTGATGGATATATAACAGGGCAAACTAAACTTTTCTTTCTACTTTCTCTTCACCGAACAAGTGGTTCAACAGTTAGCTTCCGCCGAATGGACTACATTCTAAGAATAAACCAAATGAAACCAAGAAATGAAGATCTCTACCATCCGCAACAATTTTCTGATAGACAAATATCTATCTTTTGAAGTCTTTTAGTATTAGGTGACCTAAAAACATCGCGAGATACAACCGATTAAATCATTCATAGTGTCTTGCTTTCATCCTTTATTGGAAAAATAAATACAATGCGCACCTCACTTATTATTCGTGGAAGGTAACGAAAATAATGAAATGAGAACTGTTTGCGTGGATTTCGGATTATATATCTATAATATATGTAATGCGTACATTGGCGCTCAAGTGAGGATTCTTGCACAGATACTACGTCGCTGAATTAATAGATTATGCCTACAGTATGCCTTTTTTCATAACGTTCTCCCAAGGTGATAGTACAAACTACTTATAATCATCTTGTTTAATGATAAGATATATCTCAACATGGAGCTTTATCTAGCGGCTCCTGTTCCAGCGTGAATTTTTATTTAGAATGTGTTACATTGAAAATTATCACCAAATAAGCAAACGAATTGAGGATAAATTTGCTCAGCAACCATTAACTCCTCCATCTTGGATAACTTCTTCATAATAAACCTGCTGGGATTTTGTTCAGTACGTAAAAAATATATTTGTGATTCTTTGATTACAACTGTTTTTAGTGCACGAATATGGTGGGCATTGGAAACAGAAAATTGTTTGAATCGGGGTTAAGACAACGGAGCTCGCACGTGTCACGTTCCGGTTATAATACTGGGTCACGTTTAGGGTTGCAACCATATCGGGTTTTTTGTTTTAAGGTGACCAAGGTGATTCACAAACAGGAAGTGATTTGCACCAACTTCGATTGTTTTCCGAATCTCGATTCAGACATGAGTTCTCTTCAAACGATTTTTGATCCACATATCAAAATCGATCAAACCCGTTTAATAATACACCTCGTGTGATGACAGCAATTTAATATACTGAGTCGGTGGCATGCTTGAATTCTGTCTGTGAGGTCCCCGATTCGATCCCAATGGATTCGCACTGCTGATGAGACCCAACAAGGTCGAAACAGCTATCCAGTGCTTCCTAGCTTTTCACGCTTCATTTGCTATGCACATGAAGAATTCACCTTTGACACGGAACTTCCTAAATTGATTAGTTCATTGAAAAGCCATGACGTTTTATCCCGTTAGCTGAAGAAATGTGATGAAATCTCCGGCAAGTTCTGGATATATTCTTCAGCTTAGTTTATCGGAAAACGGCTTCAAATGTAAATCGATCGTAGAAGGTCAATAGGATAAAATTAGAAAATACTCTCAATGCTTTTGCTTAACTGCAGACTAGTTGTAATTTGAGGCATCAATTGAAAATTCACCGCTATCCAATTATTCTGTTAAAATTGTAAATTGTTTATAAACAGCCAGAAGTGTCTTTCAGTCTTAAACCAAGGGTTATGCATGTAGTTACCAAATATTCATTAGGTGACAATTGAATACGTCAAGGGGTCCTTTCCGCTAGTCTGCTAAGCTGTTTGCTTCAACTGACTTCGATAAATCAATGTAATCCCATAGGTGGAATTTATAAATTACTCCTCAGATAGCTTTAACTTACTTGATTAATACTTTCGAGTTGGAGTGAAAATTTCGACTAGTTCCAACGGGACAAAGTGTTTCTTCAATCTTGTGATCTTCACATAAATAACGGAGCCTGTTTTCTATGTCCTGTGAATGTCTGTTTCTTTTGTGAGTAGCCAAATCGCTTCCATCATGATGCTTAGTTTGCCACCTTAGTGGTTGCCTGATCATGAAGTGTCCAAATCATGCTTGTCCCAACTATTTTATTCTCCTCAAAAGTATTGTCTTTTAATTTCAGTTTGATTATTTTTGACCTTTTGCCACAACTCAGAAAAGCAATGTTATCTCTAGTGTTGAAGCACCCGGGCTTTCCACTCGCATCCTCGTAAATTGCCAATACCTATAGCGAACGAGTCTTCGTATCATTTAGACATTCACACACCTCATTTTTCCGCAAGGTTCTATTCAGCCGGTAGCTAAACGTAATTGTGAAATGCTAATTTCCTATGTAACCATAGTATGCCAGGTTTGAAGAGCTGTTTTCTCGATAGCGCTGATAATTTCACCAAATCGTTCATCATAATGTGTGCATAACTAAGGATTAAATAATTACTTCTAACTACAGTACTGGCCGATTGTGATGCACTAAAATATTTTCTTTATGATCAAATGGAGTTGCATTATATTTAAATATCATTATTATTATTATTATTTATGTTTAATTAAGGCGTTAGGTATGGGCAATAATTTATATCTTGTCTACTTCGATCAATGTTAATTTTTTGTTAGAAGAAACTGTTCCATTCTCTTTAGTTACCTCTTATCTCATCATGGTCTCCGTCAACCAGTACTGACGAAATGGGAGTATCCGCTACATTCGGAACCATTCCATCTGCTGAGTATAAACGAATCAGAAAAATCACATTTATAAAGACTCACCAAGGCTTATTTATTATTAATTGAAAAAAATTACTTCAGCGTAAATGCTGTTGCCTATACGAACTGACAAGTATTTCACAGGGGCCCGTTGCTTCAGCTACGATTAGACCTATATATATAGCGGACCTTGACGTGAATTCCACTGAGGTTCAAAACACCGCTCATTGTTACCCATTTATTATGTTGGTACTTACATTCAAAGGATGTTTTTTCGTTGTTAACCAACTTTATTTTTTCAAATAATCTACATTTTATCTAAAGAATGAAGTTCTTTCATCGTACTGACGTGCTGCCTAATAAATTTGGTTATTTATTATGGTTTTCGTTTTCTGCGGAATACAATGTATGTTCATTTATATTAAATATTACTGGTCCTATAATATCAATTCATCCGGCTAATTACTGTTTTTGATAACCATACGTTGAGGTATGGACTGGACCCATTAGGGAACCAGCTTATATAACACATGTGTACGAATTACCATAGCGTGATATTTGGGATAAATACAAACGAATGTGCGGTAGTGCAGAACACAATTGTGCAGGGAAATTTGTGATATATTTCTGGACTGGAGGAAAAAGTAGACGAAAAATGAGAAGCAGTTTATAGGTAAAAGATAGCGATCGGAATTGCACATACGTTCAATGCATCTAGCCTTCTTTCACGGAGCTGAACAGCTCTTGACGCAGACAAGTGTTCGTTTTCAGGACCCCTAACAGCTGGGTAGTCACTGTGAGTGCATTAAATTTCTGTACTCCGCGCATTACCATACACATATGCGACGCTTCAATGATCACACCAACCCCGGCTGGTTGTATGACCCGATCGATGGCATCCGCGATCTGAGCAGTCAAACGTTCCTGGACTTGAAATCGGCGGGAATATAATTCGACTATACGAGCCAATTTGCTCAATCCAATCACATGTTTATTCGGGACGTATCCGATGGAGACTCGACCATTAAAGGGCACCAGATGATGCTCACACATAGAGAACATTTCAATGCCTTTTACCACAACTAAACCGTTGTGATTTTCTTCAAATAGGGCACCATTTATAACTTGATCCAAATCTTCCCAATATCCTTTAGTAAAATAAAGCATTGCTCTTGCAGCGCGCTCAGGAGTTTTTAACAGTCCCGGTCGGTTTGGATCCTCTCCCACGACAGTCAGGATTTGTTTATAGAGTAGTGTTAACGTCTTGAGAGTTCCATCGCTCTCACTGGGTTCAGAGTGTGCGTTAACAACTCCGGAAGTTCTTTTTTCAACCAGTCTCGGATGTGATTCTGTGCTCAGTTCATAGGAAGTTAAGCTCTGTTCCGGTGTCAGGGATTGGTTTGAAACGCTTTTCTGGTGCTCCGAATATTGATTGTTCAAATATGGATATAAACCATTTCTTCCTTCGTCAACATGATTACCATTCATTTCACAGTGACCAAAAGATAATTCCTTGAAATCGACATCCGGTTCTTTCATTTCTTTCTTCTGACATGTGATTTTACTATCCTGCGAACATTCACCATTCGGAACCGGGGACCCAATCAAAAATGGCACAGATTTATCACGTGTATGCCCTATGCTCTGTGAAAACATTTTCGGTGTTGAGCCGTTCATAAAATGAACGGAGCTTGATCCATTTTCCATCAGTGGCAACGTATTGATCGTTTCATCCAGGGACAATCTGATTCCGTGTTGTCTCAATGCTGTTTGAGCATTGGGAATTTCGTAACGCGTCAGTTCATGCACATGCTTATCACCGAGGTTCTGTTGCGGATGATGAGGGGCAGTTTTATTCATGATCCTATATTCCAGATTGTTTGATAGAATGCAATATGTAAGAGGAAATCCTCGTGTACACAAAAAACCCCAAATGTATCTGGTGATCAGGCGATCAGTGAAGCGGACCACAGATTGTGTGGTGAACGTTGTTCCTCGTGGCCGTACCTAGCCTGATTCCATGTACTAATAGTCAGGCGAAAACCAATCACAGGTCACGATCCATTGGACAATCACACACCGATTTGTTCAACCACGTGATATTGTGATTGCAGGGCTCGCTCGTTTACAACATAGCTCTTCGTTTTCTATCTAAGACGAATAGATCAATTCACTGGGTTTTCGTGAAAAACAAACGTCAAGCGTTTATACTGTGTACTATCGTGGCTTGTTCCACTCTACATAAATATCGAGTACTATGAACGCTTCCAGCCGACAACATACTGTCAAGAACATTGCAAATAAAACCATTGCCACTGAATATTTTCAGAAATAGTGCTTAATCACACATGCTGAGGGCCTCTTCGAGAAGGTGAGCACAATGCTTACTACCCCCCCCCCCTAGAGATAAATTAAACAACTACTTGACTTTTTTATCTGGGAAAAGTGGAGCATTTACTTCAATTATTTGATGAGTTTCGTCGTGTACAAAGCAAGCGAAGTGTGAAACGGAAAGCCAGAAAGCGGTAGACAGTTGTTTTGCATTCTCCGCATCGTTTTAGTAGTGCGAATTCATCGACACAACTGGTGATCGAACCCGAAACTTGACTTTACTAGAACCGGTGCTCATTATACAGTTATCATTGAATAATCTTCCCGACTAATATCATACAAAAATTAGATTCAAAGTCAAAGACAGTTATAACTTCATCGCGCACAATAAATTTGAATTTAAATTTAAATTTAGGAGAGTTCGCAGCATGTGAAGATGGAGGACCGACTATTTGATTTGGTGTTCAATAAATGTAGGTTTTTTTCAAACCAAACATTTACAATGTCGTCGATAAAAACAGTTCGGTTCTATTCACAGAAGACAATCCTGAAAGAGCATAAAAATGAGGTGGTTATTTATTGCATCAATACAATGAGTTGTTTTTTCCCATAGACCTAGTTCTGAGGGAATTTTCAACAAAAGGTGGCAAATATACACAACAAAAATTTAATATTTGGACAAATTAAAGTTCCAGGTGGGAATTCGCCGTGTATATAGCAGATGAAGCGTGAACTGAAAAGCTGGGAAGCACTGGACAGCTCTTTCCACCTTATTGAGTCTGATCAGCAGTGCAAACCCAACTGGGGATCGAACCCGGAACTTCATGGGCAGAACGCAAGCATGCTACTCCGTTCGCCACCGGGCAGCTGGTCAGGCTGTTTCTCATTTTTGATTTACACGATATAGCACAACCCATCTTTGCGAGCTTGTTGTGGGCCACAGGCCCTGCTCATCTCAGCACTAGCCTCCACGATTATGACCCGGTTGGAAACATTCAAAACCTGACTACTTATTTCATATGAGTGCATGTGCATTTTGCCCATGAAGTCCAGGGTTCGATCCCCAGTTGGGTCGATGGATTCACACTTCAGATAAAACCCAACAAAGTCGAAACAGCTGTTCAGTACTTCCTAGCTTTTCCGTTCACGCTTCATTTGCTATAAACACGACGAATTCCCATTTGAAATTTAATCAAATCCTCCATTACTCACATGGAATTAAAAGTTCGTTTCAAAATTCATATTCACTAAACTTTATAATCGGAAACAAGGACATAATGTGCTTTGAGTGCAGAGGCAGATTAAAAGATTCAAGCCATTTTCAAAATGCATAAAATTTATCAATTCCACCCCTCTTCCCGAAAAAAAGAAGCTCAAACACTGTACAGGTGCAAGTACCATAACCAATACAAAGGAAATGACGGCTTTCATGTCATTCTGCCATACACCAGTGAGCATAATAGTCAATTCTTGTCATGAAAATGCATTGTTCCGATGCACAATAACGTTACCGAAATATCACGTGACGTTTAACATCTGCATTACGTCCTCTGTTACGGGAATGGTTGAAAGTAAAATTGTTCAACCAATTGCGGCAAAGATACTATCATAGTGTGTTATTCATTGTTGCATCTGGTTATGATTCCATCTGACAAAAAAAATCACAAATGATTCTTAATTTCCATTCATTCTGTTCACGTAAAATCTGGCCCAAAACCTTGTAAGTTGACACGCGTCGCAAGTGATCCAGTTACAAACGCAGGGATTTTTTTCTACCCATTGAATAGATGATAAAACGTCCCATTTGACAACGTGTATAGCTTTTTTCAGATTTTTGAGAAGTTATTCACTTCCTATCACTGGTAAATTCCAACGTATCTCAGAAATCAGAGAAGTGCGTATATTCCAATCCTGAAACGTAAAAACCTATATTATTCATCGTATGCATCGATATATATATATATATATATATATATTGGGCATAACAAGTTTTGTTTGTTTACTACAAGTCATTTTACCTTTTTTGGTTGTTTTACTTTTGGGGTTGGGTAAAAAAGGGCGCATTCACGCTGATGACTTCTGCTCGATGCCATATCACGCAGTTTCTCTAGTTAAAGACAATCTGACACTTAAGCGGTCCCGGCTGGGGTTCCTGGAAGCCCGAACAG